TTACCAGCTTTATTTCTGGCTTGGTGAGGTAAAGCAGGTTTGCGTCTGTGGTCAGGGATCGAACCCCAGACCATGTGCATGGTCGGCGAGTGTCTTAACCACTGTGCTACCGACGCTCAGAACTCATACAATAAATTAATGAATATCCGCTTGTTCGATACTCAATAGCCTCTCTGTATGCATCTGTCTCTCTTTACATCTCATCAATTAGGACTACAATCAACTATGAAAGACTTCATGCTCAGACAATTTAAGTATATCGATTCTACAATATCTTGTTTTGCGTGCATTTTTTATGTGATTAGAAAAGTACTAGACATGATGAAACTACTAAAAACTTACTACGAAACACTAAGTGAAAACAGCCCTTTTTTATTCCTCCTTTCTTTCATTAATATATTTTTGTTAATATTTTCATATTCTCATCGGACAATATTATCAATGTAAAATGCCCTGTTTAATTATTTCCTCCTGTACTCTATATGGTTTAAAAATAAAATCAAGTGCAATATTGTATAATGGGCTGAAAATTCTATATATTTGCGTCAAAAGTAGTGTTCAGAATAAAGCCATTATTATTATTACCATTATTACATTGGTTGTCAACCAGTGATCAATACTCTTTTTGTTTAAGCGAAAACTGATCTATTCAGAATAGCAGTGACATTAAAAGCAACATTAACTATAGTAAGTATAAATGAAAGCTCATTTGTCAAATATATATTCGTACTCATCGACTTGTATAGTCTTTTTATTCATACAATAATTTTCAAGTATTGGTTTTGTAGGGAATTTTGTTTGATTGGTTGGAGGATTTAATCATAAGATGACATTGGTTAGAGAACCATTGGAAAACCAACAAGGAGTACTAGAACTGTTTAGCAGTAATCACCCACCACAGAGGAGTCGAACCCAGGACCTTCTGGTTACAAGGCGAGCTAGCTCGTAGATCATTAAACCAGTCACTGAGACCCGATCCAATGGCTAGCCAGTCCATGAATTCCAACTTCTGCCAATTCATAACACAGCGCGACCACTTCGCAATGTCTTCTTCGATGAGTTACTGCCTCATCTTCAACCTGGTCACGGCTTCCCACTAGAACATCAGGTAAACGCCTGAGTAGGGCCAGTTGCTAGTGAACATCGTGAATTGGCAGAAGTTGGATTTCATAGGCTGGTTCAACGGTCTACGAGCTAGCTCTCCGTGTAACCAGAAGGTCGTGGGTTTGGACTTGGGCAGGGGGTGAGTACTGATGAAGAGTCCAAAGCTAGACCGACGAAACAGCTTTCCAGTACTCCCTGGCAGGTTTTCCAATGCTTCTCTAACTCTAATGTCAGCTCATGATGAAGTCCTCCAACCAATCATACAATACAATTCTTATGTGTTTGTTTGTTTTTCTTTTCTCGCCTCATTTTCTTGCAGTTTAAATCCTTTCAAAGTCTGTCTTTTTCCTGTCAACAGAAGTTTCCCTAATCGATTATCTGCTTTTGTGACACTTTTATCAAATAACTAAGGGGTGGGGGAGAGAACAAGAGGTAGAAGTTTCTAAGATGACGATAGATACTAGAGAAATGTTGACGTATCATAGTTTCTCTCATAATCTCTAGGGAGTTAGCTACGTGCTAACTGATAATTGCATTCATATGGAAAATGAGAGCGTTTTAGTAATGGTAACTTAATTAGCATAAAGATACTAACCACTTTGATAAGTGCTCCTCTCATTTAACTGATTTATATCCGAACAACTGACTCTGGAACTGACGTGAAAATCGTATATAGTTTAAATCAAATTATGATTTAATTTAATGGATGTCGTTTGCAGATTAGTATAGATAATTTTGGTCACTGTGCAGTTGTCACAGCGGAAAAGAGTTAGTGGTGGTCAAACCAAAACATGGCTTCATCAGTCAATGAAATCCATAACAGTTCGTTTAAGCCAGTCAGACACGTAGGGAGGTGTAGACTTCCTTCCCGACTGGTTGGGGTCCTCGGGATGGTAGAAACCAACGAAAGCTGGAGACAATTGGTGATCTGGCTTAAAATCGTTCTCGGTAACGGCGGGCGCAGATGCATACACTCTTTGTGATTTGCCAGTCATATCCAATAAAGCTCTTTTGTTCTTTCATATTAATCTACTTTTTGACTTGTATTTCTGTGTATTGTGTCTCTTTCGAATCTTTCTTCACTCTCTTCTCTTGCTTTGTGTGCTACAAGGAAGGCGTGTGGCAACTCGAACTGCTGCACATCTGTGCAAAGTAGTTCTACATTGAAACCAGTCAGTCAGTCAGTCAGTGCACACTTTTCAAATGCATCTTGGAACATTATCCGATGTGGTTATGAGGAAGGCAGTGTAAGGTACTTAATAGGTCTATTCTTGAGTACTTGATGAAATCAAGCAATGCACTTCTACCAGGATACTTGACTACCTTACTTCTCATTGCATAACAGTTTTTAACCTGAAAAAAATTACAAAGCCTTACCTCCATCATGTCATTGGCTATCACGTGATTTTTTCATCTTCATAAACCCCTTCTTAGTAGTTGTATCAATGATTTTTAGCCCCTTAATACTCACTAATAAACTGCTATAGGTGCTTGGTACAGCCTTTGAAGATGTCTTCGTCGATAAATACAATTTCCTTCGCTTGTGATGATATTAGATGGTTGAAGGCAATCGGCAGGAAGCCTTGGACCTAGGTTTCGTGCTAGTTGGCACTCTTCAGCAAGGCGTATCTGCCAACAAGCACAAAATCTAGGTCCAAGGCTTCCTGTGGCCGATTGCCTCCAACCATGTAATATCGTCACAAACAATGTACACCGTGATGGCGAGCTACCTAGGATTAGAATGGTGGCCACATTACAACCTGACTGATAGAATTCAGTCTGCACCAAAGAGAGGACTAGACGCATCACACTAGTTACTGGTGTCAAATCAAAATTTCCTTAGCTGATGAATTGTCTTTTTTTTTCTTCGTGGTTCGTAGATATTTTAAGGATTTTGTGAAATCAATGATTCTGTAACTGCAGATTGTAACAGGTAGAAAAGACCAAGCTGAAATTTGTATTAGAAATTCGTAAATACAAGATTTCGCCTTTTCTCACAGCAACACAGAAAGGGGAAAGAAACACAAATCGTGTGAAAGTCAGTAAATTAGTCAAGATTGATAACGTAGGTGTTTTTGAAAGCATCAGTGATTATAAACGTTCCAATCTCAGAAGGGAAGATGAGCTCCATATAGGTTGCACATACACCTTACTGACACGCTCCAACAAGCACAGTATCTAGGTCCAAGTCTTCCTACCGATCGCCTTCAACCATCTAATATCAACACTTCAGAATGCACTGTGATATCAAGCCACTTAGTGGTATGCTGGCCACATTGCAAACTTGACTGACAGAATTCATTCTGCACCAAAAAAAGAAAAAAAGGCATAGACACATTGTCTGTTTTCGACATAGAACTTTGCACATATGTGCGGCAGTTCAAGTCACCACACTCCATGTAGCACACAAAGCTTGAGGAGAAATGCATAATAGAGACAGTAAACAAAGCTGTGAGACAAAGGTATAGTAATAACGAAGAACAATATAGTTTCATTGGAAATCATAAGTCACAAGGAGTGGATGCATCTGTGCTAGCCATTAAGAAGGATTTTGAGCCATATCACCAATTGTTTCCAACCATTGTTTTCACCGTCCCGAGGACCCCAACCAGTCAAGAAGTCTACACCTTCCTATGTGGCCTAGACTAACTGTTGTAGATTTCATTGACTGGTGCCATGTTTTCGTTTGACCACCACTAGCTCTTTTCCAGCCTGGCCCTATATCAGCTAACATTGCCCATTGTCGAGGAAGGCGGTGACTAGGCATACGTAACACATGTCCTAACCATCTCAGTCGATGTAATTTCACAGTCTCATCGACTGATTTCCCCTCCTTACCTAGCACTCGACGCCTAACCTCAATATTGCTCACCTTATTATGCCATTTCACACCGGAGATAGAGCGAACGCAGACACCTATGATCGAAGCCAGCTAATCTTTTCATGCCTCACACTCTCAGTGGCCAGGTCTCACAGTCATAAACGAGGACGGAGCGGACTGATGAGCAGTACACCCACCCTTTGGTCGACAGTCGGATATCACGTCTACTAGGCCAGAGACGGCGTAAACTGGCATATGCGAAACTAGCCCTCTGTATTCGTGCTGAGATTTCGTCAGAGATCAACCCGTTGGGGTTGATGGTACTTCCCAAGTAAGTGAAGCGGTCAACGTGCTCTACCACTTCACTTCCTATTTCTAATCTAGGAGTCAGTGTAGTCCAATCCTGCAACATCAGCTTACATTTTACAGGGGCGAATCTCATGTCAAACATACGAAGATTGTTGCTCAAGTTGTTCATAAGACTCTGCATTTTGTCAGCGTCCTCGCGTAGAAGGAATATATCGATATAGACACATTACACTAGTTACTAACTCGTTTCCAATCTAAGTATCTATCACAGTCGTACCGGAGGTGAGTTGTGAGCCCGAATAGCTCACTGGTAACCTCTCTGTGACTGCAGAGGACACTGGGTGACGCGATTTCAAATCTCAGAGGGACATGAGTTTCTTCAGAGTTTTTCACTTATGCCCTTCTGACTGGTGAGTGCCAACTAGCACGAAACCTAGGTCAGGTAAGGCTTCCTACAGACTGCTTTTAACCACTTAATGATAGTTCGGAGTGCATCGTGATGGTGAGTCATTACCTGCCTCAGTGACCATCGCATTGCAAACTTGACTGATAGTATTCAATCTGTGCCAAAACCAGGGACCAGACGTACAAAATTAGTTACTTCCTGTTGTCCAATAATTTAAAAGTCGTTAAATAAGTTTATACTACTCACACACACACACTTAGTTTACCAGTAAACTTATTATTTTGTCAATCTCTTAATTTACTTTAGAAATTACAGATTTCTTATTTTAACTTTCTTTCTTTCTTTCTTTTCTCTTCTCAGGCTTATAAATTACGTGAACATTTTGCTAATAAGTTTTCTTATGCTTTAAAAAAGCCAACATTCAATTGGTATACACGTTATCTTTATCAAATTAACTTAAGAAAGCATAGTAAACTGTTAGAATCTGCAGCTGTTGATGCATGTAATCTAAGGTTAGTACTAACTAATTGTATTGTTTCATTTCAATCAAAACTGGTTTGTTTTCTGCAGGAAATTTTTGTTTGTTTTTATTCCTTTACTTTCCTTATGGGACGTAGGGCTTCAAGCTAGAGGCTAGCCTCACATCCAACCTTCCCTCTTCACCAATCTTATTACTGGCTTAGCGAGGTGAGACAGGGCGTCTGTGACCGAGAATCGAACCTCGAACCACATGAGGCGTGGTTGGTGCGAGCATTCTACCGCTGTGCCACCGACGCGGTTGCAGCAAATTAGTCATTGGTATTGAATGTTTGAGTAGATTGAAAGTAGCGTCAGTTGCTCATGTTACCTATTCAGGTAGGTAGTTACCTGGGGTTCTAGTGAGAAGTCGTGACCAGTAGGGTGCAGCAGGTCGGGTGTGAGGACAAATACTCGCCGAAGACATTGGCTAGTGGTCGCGCTATGTTGTGAATTGGCAGAAGTTAGAATTCATGGACTGGCCATTGGATCGAGTCTCAGTGGCTGGCTTAATGGTATACGAGCTCGTCTTGTAACCAGAAGGTCCTGGGTTCTTATCCCGGTGGGTGCGTACTGTTGAAGAGTCCCAAAGTGGGACGAAACAGCTGTCCAGTACTCCCAGGTTTTCCAATGGTTCTCTAACTAATGTCAGCTCATGATGAAAATCCTGTAACCAATCAAATCCCTACAAACCAACACTTGAAGAGTTGAAAGAGTTGTGCGTCGGTGGTATAGTTGTGTAGGGTGCTCGCCGGCCACACAGGTGGTCCGGGGTTCGATCCTCGGTCGACGCACTGCCTTACCTCGCCAAGCCAGTATTGAGACTGGTATAGAGGGAAGGTTGGGCGTGAGACTAGCAACCCCATCCTGTAAAAATAATCACCTTTGTGCTACAGAAACTTCAAGTCTCTAGCTTGAAGCCCTATATTCCACTGGGAACCTAAAGGAATAACACAAAAAGAGTTACAATCACCAACTGGTTAGTGGATTATTATTATTCCCTTGGCTTCCGAGTGGAACACAGGCGTTCAACAGCATATTTTCATGTCATCTGTTTTTTGTTTTTTTTTAAAATTCCTGTTCAACTGGCTCACACGATCTTCTCCATATCACCCTCGCACCAATGCCCAACTCGTTACTTCCTTCTTGGGTTCCACTTGAGCAATGGTATGGTGCGCGATGCCATTTGACGGTGTTCTCAGAGTGTGTTCGATCCATCTCCATCTCCCTCAGCATATTTGTTGAGCAGCAGGTTTTTGATTGGTTCGTTCCCAGAGTTTCTTGTTGCTAATTCTTTTATGGTCGGCTGTCTGATCTTCACTGATTAGCCTCTTTTACTGATGAAAATGAAGTATTACTCAACGACCAGTTGCAGTTACATATAGTTGGAAATGAACTACACCTATTGTATGAGGACAAGTGATGCTGGATATTTACTACCTGCCTGCTCAAACCTCCATAGGTGGGGTGAGGTTCGAACTTGTGACCCACTGGTTGGGAGATGGGCGACTAGACCGATTAGCCACAACTCCGTTCTTTTGTTAATATCTTCATATTATCAGAAGTTTTGATTATAATAACTTTGCTATTTTGAATGATAGTATTGTATTAAAAGTAATCTCTAGCTTACTGTTTAATAATTTTTCACTAGAAGCTGTTTTCTGCACAGAGGTTCTCAACAGTATGAACTACAGACAATACCTTCTGTAGAAATAGTTCCCATTATGTTTGCGTATTAATTCAGTTTCGATTTTCCCGTTGGTCAAAATGTTTGGCCTCCGTTGACTTGCCGGTTCCTTTTTATGGATGCTTCAATCATGTCTGAGAATTAACTGGACGGAAATTTTGGTGGGTGGTAACTAGCAGTCGAGTCCAGGATGTGTATTTTTTCTGGGAAAATAAAATTTGAATTAGAATTAAATCATAAGTGACACTTGTTACTCAAAAGGTGGCTTTCGTGGCCCAAGTGGTCTAATGGATAGCGCTTTAGCGTTTAGAACGATGGGCAGCGGGTTCGAGTCCCAGTGGGAACACTTATCGCTCACTGAGAATGCAAGTACATCCAGATTATGAGTCCCACACAGCACGAAGTGCTCATCCTGGATTTTACTGCTTGTTAGCTTCCATCGAATTACTTCAAGTTAGTTTGCATTGCTAGTTGAGAAATCCAATAACTTTCGATTGGTAGTTGGAAGAACAAAGCACTGTTTTCAAATTGTATTGGAAAAAAGCACTATCACCCTTTTATTATAACTGTAAATCTAGCTGAAATTCATTTTAATATGTACTGTGAAATTCAGCGTTAAGAATCAACAAATAAATAGAGTAATGAGGTTTTCATCTATGCAGTACAAAGTTGCGGAAGCGTAAATCTCAGTACAGGCAAGGTTGATTTACGTCTGTATTGATCACATGTTTAATGACTTGGAATTTGAACTTTCTTGTCATGTGATTTGTTCTGTTTAATAGCCGGTCTATATTAATGTGTGTGCGTTAATCGCTTGTTGATTCCTTTGAGTACCAGGCTTCTAGAAATTCTCTAGCACTTTAAGTCTTTCCTAGGTTTGGCATTTCTACATTCTCCCAATCATCAAATTGGTGTCCATAATTATCGACATGCATTGATATGAAACAGGAATATATACCATGTCTTTTTACAACCACTTTGTGTTCTTGGATTCGGATTCGAAGGAGACGCCCACTTTGACTGATGTAATGTTTATCGCAGTCCATGTAGTTTATTTTGTAAATGGTATTAATTTTATCTCCATTTTCTGTTGGATCTTTTGGTTTGCACAATATCGAATAAAGTGCTATATCCATTTCAAACAGTCTTAATAATTTAGCTGTTATTTCAGAGATATTTTTTATGTATGTCATAATGGATTTGCTTGTGGTCTTTGGTGATAGTCTCTTGATGGTTTTATGGCTACAAGAACACAAATTGAATTTAAAATGGCATGATATATATATTTTTTCGTATCAATGCATGTAGATAATTATGGACGCCAATTTGACGATTGGGATAATGTAGAAATGCCAAAACGAGGAAACACTAAAAGTGCCAGAGAATTTCTAGAAGCCTGGTACTCAAGTGAATCAGCCAGCGACTAACACACACACATTATTATAAACCCGTGCGTCGGTAGCACAGCGGTTATGACTCTCACCGATCATGCACATGGTCCGGGATTCGATTCCCTGCCGACCCACACCTGATATCTATGGTTAGCCTGCAAAATTTGGGCTACCGATATCACATGCTGAAAATTCCATACCTGTACCAAAAAATATGGTGTAGAATCAAGCTGTAATCAAAAATTAAAAAAAAATAAATTTACCAGGTAATAAACAGAACAAATCACATGACAAGAAAGTTCAAATTCCAAGTCATTAAACATGTGATCAATAGAGACGTAAATCAACAACCAGTCACGACAATATTGGCCAAAAGATACAATTACATCATCATTAATGGAGAATTCACCATAAAGTTCATTTTATACTGAAACCTGCGCTGAAAATGTTGTTCAGAAGGAGAACAAGGAAAGCTTCTGAACACAAATAGTTCAAAGAAAAGAGTTAGTATTCGTAGGCGGTTTGATTCTAACCCATTGGCTGAACGATTACACACTCTTCTCGTAGCCAGATAGTTGTAGGTGGTGTCATGAATGCATACTACTAAGAAGTTACAGTCTAAAACGGAACAGACGATTTCAGTAATTTCCAAATTTCCATTTAGGCATTAAGAAAACCACAACAAATTGAGCGGATATTCAAGTATTGGTTTGTAGGGATTTGGTTACAGGATTTCATCATGAGCTGACATTGGTTAGAGAACCGTTGGAAAACCTGCAGGGAGTACTGGACAGCTGTTTCATCCTTGCTTGGGACTCTTCATCAGTACGCTCCCACTGGGGTTCGAACCCGAGACCTTCTGGTTACAAGGCGAGCTCGTAGACCATTGAACCGAGAAATATGCGTTTCCTTTCAATTAGTTCCTCCTCATCGGCTCTATCCTAATATATGGTATTTTACATCAATATGTTTACCAATCAAGTGGTTATTTTAGTTTAACAGTTTTAGGTATAGGCGGGGGTGAAATCAAGAGGTTAAAGGTAATCAAAAAAACTAATTAACATATGTTAGTAACAAGATATCCATGTTTTAAAGGTGGGGTGGAAATTAATTACAGAATTCAAGATAAGTTGATTCTTAGGCATTTTTTTTCCTTCACGTTCCCCAGTGGAACATATGGCTTCAAGCTAGTTACTTGAAGTTTCTGTAGCAGTGGTGATTATTTTTACAGGATGGGGTTGCTAGCCTCACGCCCAACCTTTCCTCTTGACCAGCTTTATTGTTGACTTAACGAGGTAAGGGAGTGCGTCCGTGGCCGGGGATCGAACCCCGGACCATGTGCGTGGTCGGCGAGCATCCTAACCGCTGTGCCACCGACGCACATTAGAACGTCCCAAAAGGGGATAGAGTCATTTTCTTCTTCTTCCTTAGTGAAGCTTATGTTGGGATGTGCTCTATTGAATTTATCCAACATGTTCTTAGTCTCACTTTCTTTCTTAACAACTATAAATGTGCATCATCAATATATCGCCAATAGAAAACAAGATATTACAACTTTGAGAGGACCATTCTCTTGTTTCGCCAGGAACAAATATGCCAGGATTGGGCCTAGTGGTGATCCCATGGCAACACCACCTTGATTGTCTATGCATTTCTTTATTGAACAGAAAGTTTACGATCACTGTACACCTTAGAAGAAGTTCCTTTAGGGGAGATACACAAATTCCAATGTCTATACCTTGCTTTATCAATTCATTACCTATGTAATCAGTTGTTTCCATCAAAGGCACATTAGTGAATAAGGAAGATGCGTCCAGTGATATCATGTGTTTGTCCTTCATGCTTAATTCTTTGATTCTTTCTACAAACTCGAAACTATCTTTTATGCTTTTTTTTCAAAAGTTTTTAAAAAAAAATA